TTAGTTTACCAAACTGCCTTAATTAAGTCACAAAATGCATAAAAATGCTTTTGTAATTAAAGGTTTATGTCTGGGATGCCTTAAAAACGTGTTTTAGCTGCATGTTTTTTTTATTATTCAAGTGATCTTTGAGTTGGAAATCATAAAACTACATGAGTAGAGCTAAATCAAGTAGGTTAAACACTAAGACAAAACATCAATCTTTTACTTTGACTCATCATTAGTTACCCAGATGGCAAAAAGAAGGGTAACAAAAAACAACAACACAGATGAGTGGATTCATGCCATTCACACCAGAGAAACTAAATGGAAGCAGCTTCTATTAAAAGTGTAGCACAGTAAAAGCCATACGGGACTGTGCTAGATAACAAAAACAAATTTAATCCTGGGCTCGTCCGTCTTCCTGTGCACAGCAGTAGTTAAAGAACAAAACAAAACAAAAAAAATAGTATCTCTAACAAAAGAAGTTATGTGAATGTGAGCAGATATTATCTGCCTGCCTGACTGTTAATGTTGTAATATCATACCTGGATAGAAAAACACACAGTGGAAAACTACCAGTCATGTTCTGGCCTCCTCAGAGTCCAGACATCAACATTATTTAAGCAGTTTGGGCTCATCTTGACAGAGAATAGAACAAAAGGCACCCAAAATCCATAGAAGTCTTTCGTAAACATGATCCTACCAAATACTGAGGTTTGGTTCAGTTGTGAAAATTATGTTTTAGCCTTATATACTGTGTTATATTTACCCAATGAAAGAAATGAGAGGTGGCTCAAGTGTTTTGCACAGTGTCGTACGTTAGCAATATAAAAAATTATAGTGCACCACGGACACATCTTATATCCTTGATGACGTAAATAAAAACAATATGTGTAACAGCTGATGACACAAGCTTCTTCCTCTGCCCTCGGGAGACTGAATGGAGCTCAGATGGGAATAAGCTTTGTATTGTCAGACATCCCCTTGGAGATTAAACACACTGGACTCTGGAGTATTTGCTTTTAGTACGATTACTTTGTATGCCAGGCAGACAGCACAGTGTCTAAATATTATTCAAAGTGTTTTTCCCATTTTCCTGAACAACAGAGGACACAGTTTATGTGAATGCATGCACTGTGTTTGTGTGTAACTTCAGGACATCTGGCCAACGCTGCGACAGAGCTGATGAAGCTGGACCATGAGGAGCCTCAGCTGACAGAACCGTACCTCTCCAAACAGAAGAAGCTAATGGTGAACCCGTGTTTTCATTAACGTTAACATCTAACTTTTAAGTGTCCTTCACAACTACAGATTTCATTAATATACACATCAGAAGTGAAGACTTAAGATGATTTTCAGGGTGTGATTCATATACTGCAATTTATAGGAGTTCATTTGCATATGTTTCAGGGCCTTTAATCCATTAAATGATGCATTAAAATAAAATAAATTTCTCACTTATTGTAAGAATTAATAGCTTAGTGTATTGTACATTTTTAAATTGTTGTTATCCCTTCAAGAAATTATAGTGCACATAGAAAATCCATTAAATCCTCTAAACGTGTAATACATTTAAACTTATTCAGGGCAGCCGCCTGAATTAGCATCTTAAACTGATGTATTAATATCCTTCATAGGTACAAAGTGAAGGTTATCACACAGGAAACATCCTGGAAGATTAGCTTCATCGAGTGAAACCCTTAAAATTTTAAATCCTGAATAAAAATATACTTATTTTGAATTACATATATTTGAGACGCCTGAATGGGAATGTAAAGAGTATGATTTTTATGTATTTAAAGCTTTTTTGGGGGGGACAAACAGTTTAAGTCTCTATTAAACTGACAGGTATTGCTTTATTTATGATCAGAGAAGAAATCCTGACTTTTCCTTCAGTGACGTTAGTTTTCCTATTTGTGGCTTTGAGTGAAATATCTTTAGAGCTACTGGATGTGACATATAGTTAAAGTGCTTTGAATGGTTTTTAAGACTAATGCTATGTAATACAAGTACACTGCAATTACTTTAGATTATTATGACAGTTTTAAACACATTCCATGCCCCCATAGAATAATTCATATTAAGGTTATTTGTATTTTTTGTAAGCAATAAAAAGCAGTTTAGGAGTTAACTAGATACATATTTATGGCTGCAATAATGTTCTGAGAGGTTTTTTTTCTGTAAGTTTTTTCTTTTCTTCCAAAAAATGTTTTTAAAGGTTGGATAAATCTCTACAAAGTATTCCAAAAATGTTTAGTAACAATGTTGCTTTTGATGTTGTTTTTGAAGCGAGTGGAGCTTTCCCTGTTTAACTTTGGTTGAGGCCGATAGTCAGACTGGTTAACAGAGTAGGACAACCACACACTGTCACATCCACACCTATGGCCATTTTAAAGCCACCAGTTAACGTGATTTGCACTGAACTGTGGGAGGAAGCACTCGAGTGGAACCTGTGCAGGTACAGCGAGAACATTCAAACTCCACACAGAACGGCTCCAGCTGATCAGCATATATAAGAACCAGGAAAGTTCTTGCTTTGCTGTCGCAGCGCTAGCACTAGCTGTTTCTCACTGC